CTGTTGTTGCTGGGGACAACAAAGGTCCCAAGATTCCAGCCCCCAACAAATTCAAGGGGGATGACCCCAAGATTGATGTGGGGGACTGAACCGCTGGAACCCGGGCCTATCTGAAGGGGTTTCAGTGCCCAGAGCAGCAAAAGGTGGCCACCGTTGTGGGCCTGCTGGAGGGGCCTGCCCAAAAATGGGTTACCTCTACCGCAAGTGCCAAGAATCAGACTTTGGAGGACTGGGCCCTGGCACTGGGAGCAGACAAACTTCTGCAGGCCCTGGAGGATAGGTTTGCAGACAAGGAACGCGCGCGTAAGGCTGCTGACAAGATCGTATGCCTTGGACAACAGGGTTATAGCGGCAGCCTGCAGGCCCTTTTTGCTGAATTCGAGCAACTTACCTCCACCCCTGGATTGGTGATGTCTGCTGATGATTTGCTGACTAACTTTTGCAGGGCTGTGCCTGAAAAGTTTTATGTTGCTTTGTATAGCGCCGGGCACAAAGACTGACGCTCATTTGGACGCGCAGCACTGGACATGGAAGCTAAGCTTCATGTCCAGGCCCCCTTCAGTGACAGGAGGAGAGGCGCCTTCCCTCGCGGTGGTAGAAAAGGAAAGGCGGCCTTTACCTATGCGGGTTCTGGGACATCATCTGATGCAGGATCCAGGCCCGATACACCGCCAGGTGGAACTGCAGCAGCTACTGTTCCAGATGTTGCAGCAGTTGTCCAGCAGCTGCAGGCTGCGTTGGGGGTCTTCCAAAAGGCCGGATCTGCCTCCAGCACAGCCTCTAGCAGCAAGGGGAAGAGCCAGAGACGTCGCTCTTCAACCCCTGCCCGGAGCCCTAATCTGCCACGTGACGTCCACTTCCCAGCAGACCCTCTGAACCCCAACACTCTCCCATGGCATGATCAGAAGATCCAGGAGGGAGTGTGGAGGAAGAGGAAGGAGAGAGGTGTCTGCTTGAGGTGTGAGGGACAACACTTCCTGAAGGACTGTCCCTACATGCCAAGCCCAGCTCAGTCAAAAAATTGAAGCTGAACCTGGAGACAGCAGTTCCCTCCAGTGCTACACCTGCATCTGCAGCTGCAGCAGCTTCAGTTGAGACTAGTTCCTTCCTACCCAGTGTAAGGACTGCGCAGGCAGCATCCTTCTGTTATAACGATCCTGACCCGGATCAGGGATTAGAGGGGCATGAGGCTCAGATGATTGCTCCCTTTTTCTTCATCTGAAGGGACAAAAGGGAAACCAAATCTGATCTCATCCTACCCTACCCTCGATCCATGAGAGAGGTGGAAACCACAACTCCTTTCACCTATGTTGATTCACATTCTGGATCTTCACTGTCTCTCGTTATTGTGGGAGTTGTAGTTGTCAGTATTTGCAGGCGCAAATTCTGGCGACACTCAATGTCCTGATCAAGGTTAGCTGAGAGTCAGCAATCTTCCCTTTTCCCGACATTGTGTGGTGAGTGCCATTGTCCCAGGCTTTCAACCTTCTACCCCAGGTTCCTTATCTGTTTGATAAGTTGTGCACCAACAAATCTATTGTTGACAGTCTAAATGATAATTAGTTATGTTTCTTGTGGTGAGATTACTTATCCTACTCGTGATCTCTTACTGCAGTCCTTCAGTTCTACTGACCGACTTGCATCCGGTTTATGTCTACTAAGGGGTACACACCCGGTCCGACGACTATAGCCAACAATTCTGAGTTTCCATTCTACTGACATCCCAGTTTAGTATGGAGGTCAGGAGTATAGGAACTATATTGCAGCAATAGGGTGTCGTTCACGGATCTCAACTTTTCAGAAGTGATCGATTGCGTAAATGCCAAAACTCAGGTTATCCGTGGTTCTTGATGCAATCGAGACCAACTGACACTTTGAGGTTGCCTCCTCCTGACCTTACTGCTACAGCACAGGTCAGGGCTATAGGTTACCCCGTATGTGTCTCAGGTTTTCCAATTAAGGCAAGATTGTTATCTCCATAACTCCCTTCATCTGCTGGTTCATTACCAGAAAGTGAAGTATGGGCGCAGAGGTCTGCTGTCCCCGGGGGCGTAAGTATGTAATGAAACCTGCAGATTCTCAGTGGACTGTACATTAGGCTGAGGGCGAAGCCTGGGGCTTGCCTCGGCCTGGTCGCGTCGTAGGTTCGATTCGTGATTTTGTGTTTCTGTGTTTTGTTGTCTGTGTGGTTGCTGTGTTTTTTTTTTAATGCATTGAGGTGCGATGATGTGCTGATTTCTGCTGCCGTGACTAACGGCGAGGTTGTACCCTGTTGTGTGTGCCTGTTGTGTTTTGCAACGTGCTTTGTTGTGTGTGTGCGTGCAGAGTTTTGGGTCACACTGAGGCCTATATGCTGTTCTAAAAATAGACCGGCTCCGGCCCTGCGATTGCAG